TGTTGGCATCCATTGATGCCCTGTGGAAAGCGTGGTACTCTCACGTTTTGGTGTGCCAAATTTTTAACAGATTTAGGTCAATAGTACGTACGAATTTTACTCTTTTTGAAAATATTATTGTAGCATGTTAAATTTTTATGGTTAGCTTTATTTTAATTGTTTAAATTTTGTCTTATGGTACATATAGTGGTGTTAAATTAGCAGTTTTTAATCCTCAATCCTCATCTAGATGATTGTTTGTTAATATGAGCACCTCTTCGGATTATTGTATCTATAGAATTTTTATACCTGTTTCTGCATCAGTTCCTCCATTTGTTGTTTAATTTTGGTAACCGAAACTTAAACGAGCAAATGATTTTAGACTCTGCAGTTTTTTAATCTCCTATACAAAAATGAGTTGTAATCTCGTGACTTCTTTATACATATAAGTCCTTATACACCCACATGAATGCAGATAGCTGCAGTTATAAATGTGATATAGAGTTATATTAAAGTGACTATGTACTTTGAGACAAAATCACTTGTGGTGTACTTAGCCTTAAAATTTGGAAGTTAGTACTCCCGTCTTGAAAACAATGCATGGTATGGAAAAAGTTGATTACAAAGTTGTAGAGTGTGAACAATTTACTGCAAATGGACACCCCACATACGTGATTAGAGTGAATAGGAAGTGTGAAATGCTAATTTTTTGCTATTTGATTCCTGTCAATGCTACATTACTAACTGCATCACAAAGCATGGAAAATGAAACTTTGTTCTAGACATAGACAAGGCAAATCATTCCAAGGAGTATTGCGAGAAGGTGCTATTATACAGAGAATATGGTTGTTGTGTCATTTTTCGGTCACCCTACCTGTTTCTCACAGTTTGTTGTATTTAAATTTGTTACACTTTAAATTGTATTTCGACTTGTTAAGCAATGCAAAGACAGTCAATGATAACTTTAGTAAAACCAATATTAAGAGCTATGCAAGAGAACTAAAAGGACCTATATTGACTATATTAAGACAAGAATATGAAATAAATTTATTTTTAAATAATGGTTGAATGGTGAAACTATTATATTTTTATTCTGTTTGTAAACTTCTTTTTTCAAAGTTTTTTTGTTTTGTTTTGAAGCATTGGCGTGCATGAATTTTAATGGCAAAATTCCAATATAATGCTACGTACTTATTGATTGTTTTATTTTTTTGATAATGCTAGTTGGCCGAAGAATTTATAACAGAATTTACAGGATTAATGGATCAGTACGCATTCTATGTACAGCAACAGGTAAATTTGAGATTAATTATTTGTAATATCTTATAAAAAGATTCAAATGATATCTTTATGATTTTAGGTTGAGAATAACATAGGTAAATGTGGTCCCATCAGCCAGGCTTTTAACACAAGTATCATTGCTACATGCAGTGAAATACTTCTGCCATTTGTAAGAATGATTTTACGTGTTTGGTTTTTATTAATTTCTCTTGTTAATTAATCTCATTTGTTTTTAGAATGGATTTTGGGCAAGTCTCGGTTGTTGCACTCTTCTCTGCATTCCGGGTCTTATTGTGGCAGTAATCTTATCCGTATTATATCGTCGAATAGAACCGTATCCCGGACCACTTGTCGATTCGTAAGTATAATGTTGCTTTGGTGTTATAACTGCTTTATTTTCTTCAAGGAAACTAATTTCATCTGTTAAAAATTTAATCTACTTTTTCATTTGAGGTTGTAATATGCTTAATTACAACAGTTATTTATCTTATGCTTCATTTGTACTAGAATTAACAGCACACTTACAGTATGGTCTTGTTTTACATGGTATCTCTTATTGACGGGTGCCTCACAAAATGAAATTTGTGCTCCACTCCAAGTAGTTCAGACGATTGCATAAACACTTGTGCAACCATTTACAATTAACAGATAAACATTAAAATGTGTTTAAAACATTTTACTATAACAAAGAACATTTTAGTCTAATGTTTCTCAATATATTGAGTAAAATTCAATTTTATTATACTGAGTACTTAAGGAATATAAATGCAAATCAGGGTATCAGCAAGTAGCAAGTAGTGTTTTGGAATGTCAGAAGCCAGAGAAGTATTGTTTGCCAACTTAGGAGTGAGATAATGTAACCACTCACCATCTGCATATATAAATTCCATGTAAAAGAAGACCCTATTGTGTGTAGTTAGAATTAACAAATGTTATCTAATAATTTATGTGAATAACATTTGTTTTCTTGTCAGTCTCGGTCATCTCATAAATCAATACTTCACAAATATTCATATGACAGTAGGTGGCAGAAACAAATCGGATATATGAATCAAATTTACAAAATATCTTTTGATACTAATATATTTCCCGTGGCACAAATGTAATGCTTGGAGTATGGTTATTTGCCTCATAATGTCCATTCGAGTAACTCTGACCACAAATATCTGTGATTCCATATTGGAGAACAGAAATTTTTATCACTGAAAATCTTGGAGATATTGGTCTAATCTGGTGGGAAAATGTGGTTGGTTTAGGGCAGAGGTCACCAAACTTTTTCACAGCGGGCCAGATAACTAAGAGAATGATGAGCACAAGCTATATAACCATTTTGTTCAATACAGCATACTAAATACATAATAAATAAAGACAACCTGGATATTTTTTTTACCAATACAGAAACATGATCACTGCAGCAAGCTTTTAATTGCTTTCCTTAGAAACTTCATTGCAGGTACTTATATAAAAAGCACTCTTATATCCAAAGTCACCGAATTTTTATTTCACTGATTTATCTAAAAGTTATATTACTGTCAGATGCAAAAATTAGATTGGACCAATTTTGGCATTTTTACTTACTATGTGAAAATTTAAAATAAATGTAAGTTTATCTACAATGTATGATATTTCCATATAAATAATTAGTAACACAGTGTGGCAACAGGCTGGATAAACTGATCTCGTGGGCTATAGTTTGGTGACCCTGGTTTAGGGAAAAGATTATTAAGGACTTGGCAAAACTGATCTTGTGTATACAAAGCAAATTGCATTGCCAGATCCTAACGTTCTGTTTCCAGAAAATACTGCAAAAAGTTTCAGATTCTCCTAGATTTAAAATAAATATTATGTAACAAATACAAAAATTGCGACATGAATAATTACATAATTACATACAGTATCTTAGCTATTAATTAATTTACCACAATTTATGGAATATAAGATGCAATTTTTGTCCATAAAGGGCTCAAAAAATTGCCCCACATCCTATGTGAAGTTTCAGTCTCCTAAAGGGTAATGCATTCCCCAAACAGCCAATAGATTACTGTGTAATCTCTATCTAGCCCAACTTATGAATAAAAATGTTATTGTTTAATTAATTAAAATTAATAATAATAATATTTTTATTTAAAATATAATTATTTAAAATATTACTTAGATAAAGGAGACGATTATTAATCATTTATCATATGCACCCAACTCTTTGAAGTTAAGTAATAACCTTTTCTATTTGTTGTCACTTGTCACAGTTATCTTATATGGATAGTTTAAATATACTAAATACTTTTTTCATAAATATTCTGTGCCAAAATGGGGGGTAGTCTTATATGCCATGAAATATGCTAATATAGATACACTAAAGTTTCCATATAGCATGCTTATTATCTCTATAATATGGTGTTTGGTTGCCAGATTGCTTAACATACCATGGATGTTAAGTTACAATTGCAGGCCTGTTGAGAGCTTTTAAGGGGGGTCCCCCATAAAAACTCTCAACTCTGAATGCTACCTTAGACTAAACTCTACCTTAAATACTTTTAAATTACTTTCACCTCTGATAGAGTGGTATTTTTTATAAATGTGTTAGCTCACGACTTTCAGAAGCTGTACATAAACCTTGTAGTGATGGATAATTGAATACTCTCATTCAGTTTGTTTGAATATGGACCAGTTATGAGCATATAAAATTTTCTAAAATAAATAAATTGGAATTTGTTAACTACTCGCTAAAAAGTTTGATTAATTTTTAGACATTTTATCATAGGAAGTTACAGAAATCCAAGTAACGTGTTTTGTCATTGCCACATTCCAAATTTTTCCGAGAGAATGATTGTCAAACTCCAATTTATTTAATTTTATTGAAAATAAAAGTTAATTCTTTTTAACCAGTAGAGTGATTCAATTTCTAATTTCATTCACAAGTTAAATCAGTATAAAAAGTCCTGTTAATAAATTACAGTCACATTAGACTAATATTGATAAAATAACAATTTAAAGGACTAGAAGCATTAATTAAACCAAGTTATTTAGTTTAGGACATTTTTTAACGAACTTCTGGAATATGTTTGAACTTTTTAAGAATTTGACTGTTGCCGCTTTATTTGTAAATCAAAGTTTCATATTATTTGTCCCATTTTTGATTACCAAAACAAACAAAACATTGATAAAGCTTAGTCTCTAAGCAATTGCCAATCAAGATTTGAAATACAGTAGAGCGTCGATTATCTGAATGCCGATCATCCGAAACGTTGGTTAACCGAAAGCGTTCCAGTCGGACTGTGTCATGCTGAATCGAACGTTTTTGATACTAGATTAACTTCTAAAGTATAGTGAATGGTTGTCTCTTTAATCCAAAAATATTTCTCTCGGTAGACTCTTACAGCAAGTCAGGTCCAGAAACTTTTATTGTATTTTCAATTCATATGCATTTCAAACTGGTTTCATTTTCCAGTTCCTCTTCAGTGCTCTATAATTACAATTACAGAATTATAATTACAGATATTGAGTTTACAAAAAATACAAATTAAAAATAAGATGCGTAGAGATGTCAGATAACACAACGGAAACATTATTACTAGTACCTTTAAGAACATTATTACAAGAAAAATTTTTTTTATTTCATTTCTTTGATCCTANATTAATTATTTGAAAATAGGTTTTATGATTGTATTATTATTATTATTTATAAGATTGTTTAATCATATTACGGTTTATGCCAAGAAGGATAATTTCATATGATAAATACAAGTACCATATGAATGTAACTCGGGAAAAAGAAGTGTGTAAAGTTCTTAAAGGTACTAGTAATAATGTTTCCGTTGTGTTATCTGACATCTCTACGCATCTTATTTTTAATTTGTATTTTTTGTAAACTCAATATCTGTAATTATAATTCTGTAATTGTAATTCTAGAGCACTGAATATCTCTAATAATTCTGTAATTGTAACTATAGAGCACTAAAGAGGAACTGGAAAATGAAACCAGTTCGAAATGCATATGAATTGAAAATACAATAACAGTTTCTGGACCTGACTTGCTGTAAGAGTCTACCGAGAGAAATATTTTCGAATTAAAGAGAGAACCATTCACTGAACGAATATACAGCTACAACTAGTAAATTCTAAAGTATAATTTTTGTTTTTATATTTTTCAATATATTTATTTTGTTTGTACAAAATTAAAAAATAATTTTTAACGATACAATAGCCATAATTATTATTATAAAAATTTTTGTTAGGCTTAACATCAACGAAAATTCAACTTGAAGCGACACGCAACAGAGAAAATTTTAAACATGGGATATATTAATATACTATTATTGGGATATACTAAAATATTATATTAATAATGTATTTTTTCGTACATAATCGGTTATCCAAAAAATCGATTTTCCAAATAACCCCAGTTTCCAATTGATTCAGATAATTGTCTCTCTACTGTATCATCAATTTTGTAACTTTGCACATTTTTGCAGAATGTGATTGTTTAGTTACTCTTAAAACTTTTAATCAAAAAGTATAAACATAATCTGAAAGTGATATTCTGTCGTAACATTTTGTAACTGCTGGCATGCCTCGGAGATAATATGGGTTCAATTTTGGACTGTTATGATAAAGTGAGTTGCGCGAATGTTTTGGTATCTGTGGTGCTTACAAAAGTTACATACTCTCATTCGCTCCATACACGCTCCATACTGTAGTCTATTAAGTGTGCAATAGCATTAGGTCTAAAAAAAGTACATACCTGTATCTTAATTTAAAAGTTCTAATCAGGCACCTTTGGCATGTGGTAATGTTTCCTTAAATCTCACAAACTGATCTCTGTTATCTTCGACTTTTCTTCTACAGTTTCCTCATTTCTCTAAGAGAGACTAAGGAGTGAGACCTTAAGGTCTCGCTCCTGATTAGACTTTGACTTACAGAAATGTTGTGGGCGGTTTGATTTTTATTTTTGGTGCCAAAAATTTCTCCTTGTCGGCAATGAAAATGTTTTGCATTTGCATTTTGGCTCTATTTGGTGTAAAAGAGCTATCTTCCCACCCATCTTGGCATTCAACATGCCTTCAAAAGCATTTAAAAGAAGCAAGACTCTTCTTTTCACTTGAACAATTAAAGGCTGTTGTAGTTATCCATTGATCTAATTTATATATAGATCAACAACCAGAATCGTCACAACCTTCAATTTGTAAAAGTTAGCTCAATAATCAATCGAGCTTGGCTAATTAAATACACAGATTAATAGATTATTTTGACCAAAGGTAGTTGATTAAGTTCCCATCTTGAATTAAGTCTAATTGTAGAATTAAATTAATTTAGAATATCCTAGAAGTGATATAGTGCTGGATCTGGATCAATCTTTTCTGTCTTATCGATTAAATTCACCATTGATAAATATGTGCCTATGAAACTTTACACATCCTTTGACTGTTAAAGTTCATTTTCTGTTTCTTAACACACATCTTTCCTCTTTCGTCTCATCTCATCTTAAATATATTCTGCTTAACATTCTTATCTGACTGCAATGCTGTTTACAGGGAATACAATTCCGACAGTTACGTCGACAGGGATAATATTCCATTAGCACAGTAAGTTTCTAACTCTTGCAGCTTTAAATGCTATGTTTTGTCTTATTGCACGTGTAGTATTTTTACCTTGTGCATGTTTTTTTGCTTCGTTTTTCTTATTCGTCTAAGATCGGGCTGAAGCTTCTCACGACGCGGATTACTAAACCGTTCTCTGCAGTCGTTACAACTTTTTAATTTGTCTTTCAGGGTCAACAGAAAGAGAGGAGAGAGACAGATATATGAGAATCGTAATGGTTACATTCATGACTACAGTCCAGGATACCAGGAAGCTTCTGTCAGTTTTCTACCCAATCATGCCGAATACCCTAGAGATGTGGGACCCACCGACTCTACTGCTTTTGCCAACTACCAGCCTCTGCGCCAATCTTCATGTCGGACAACACCCACGGCACCCGCCGACTTTTCTCCCACTCAGGACTACATCAAACCACCACCGTACTACTTTCCGGGACCATGAGCCAAGAGAACACTACATTCCTTTAAGACTCTCTCACTGTCATTCTATATTGATCGTGTGCTATGCTCGGTCAAAAATTCAGAGAGCAATTTTTTTGACATAGCATAATTTTTATGTAAATATTTATTTTGTGTCGATTCTTTTTTGATATTGTAGTCTTATTTTTAATGTTTTATTTCGTAAGTTAACTATTTTTTAGATTAATTTTCTTATCTGATGTATTGGGACGAGATTTTTGTAATGACAACTGCAATGTGTTACCAAATTTTTTTTGAAACTATAACATTCCAAAGCATTCTTTATTGTACCAGAAATCAATTATTTGTAATTTTCATTCAAACACCAAGAATTTATGGCTTTCGGTCAATGACACTTCAGTGGCATTATCGTTTATTTATATGTAGCTTTTTAAGCCCATGACACAATTTTAGTCCAGTATATCAGGCAGCTCTCTCTAGTATTTATAGTTTGATTCCGAAACCATTAAGAATGTCTGAAATGCAGTGTACATTTTGGACAACGTTAAACATTTCGGATGCCTCCACACATGCATAATTGCCATAGAGAAGAAACATTCTGTTGGCATCCATTGATGCCCTGTGGAAAGCGTGGTACTCTCACGTTTTGGTGTGCCAAATTTTTAACAGATTTAGGTCAATAGTACGTACGAATTTTACTCTTTTTGAAAATATTATTGTAGCATGTTAAATTTTTATGGTTAGCTTTATTTTAATTGTTTAAATTTTGTCTTATGGTACATATAGTGGTGTTAAATTAGCAGTTTTTAATCCTCAATCCTCATCTAGATGATTGTTTGTTAATATGAGCACCTCTTCGGATTATTGTATCTATAGAATTTTTATACCTGTTTCTGCATCAGTTCCTCCATTTGTTGTTTAATTTTGGTAACCGAAACTTAAACGAGCAAATGATTTTAGACTCTGCAGTTTTTTAATCTCCTATACAAAAATGAGTTGTAATCTCGTGACTTCTTTATACATATATATTATAAATACATGTTGCGTGTTTCATACGCATTTGTGCAGAGCATTAAAACGTGATATTTTGAATCTTTTCAGTTGTTTAAACAAAATATAACATTCTAAATGCATTGCTCATGACAAAATCTTTCCCTCCAGATCGCGGTTACCAAGATTAAAAAAATTGTGTACATAGCGTCGAATGGCAGTTAATGTTAAAAGTTTAGAAGGATCGTGTTGAAATTTTAATAGGAAGAAGACGTGCCGTTTCTACGGGGAACGTCTGCTAAATCCATAAGGAAGATCGCGACGTGACTACTTCCCGCGACGCACAATCGTGTTCAATGATGGTCGACGAATCGAACGTTCCGCGAGTTTCGGTACACCCATGTGGGATTCCCGTAGACATTGAGGACCGTACATTCGCCCCATCTGTAAATATTTAACCCGTAGAGGTTTGACGTTCATCCCATACATTTCATTCTAGAACAGTTGATATTTGTTTAGAAGTTTGCAAAATATATTTTATGGCAATCACGGTGCTTACATGAAGAGTTATATTTTCAACGTCAGTTAACAATAAAATTTTGTATAAACAGAATGTATTTTCTATATATATAGTTCTTTAAAATCTCTTTATTTGTGAGTCTTTATAATGACACAACCGTTTTTGTGTGCTAAATATATAAATATATATATAATGTATATTTCACAATTTTTATATTTTCCATGGTGAAATATTTGCATATAAATGTAGATCTGTTAATATTTTCACATCTTTAATGTGTATTGCATATTGCAACTCGTAAAACTCTTGAAAAACCATGTCAATTTGTTGCATAAGCGTTGTGACAAGTGTTTACGAGAAACATTGCTAGCTCGAGGAGACGCAACTGTCGTCTTTAATTGCTGTTACGAATCTCTCGATCACCTTGCTCATTCTGTAACAGACGTCATCTGTGATGAGGGATGTATCCCGTCCAAAAAAACTCCTCTGTTTAGAGGAAATTGTAAAATTAAGAATCTCCAAATAAAATTAAATATAGTACAGGTTTTGTTTATTTACAGAAACTAACAAAATCACATTATTTACACGTGCAGATCAGATTTTTACTTTGTATTGATCCCATGGATGTTGTGGTAGTTCAACTTCTACAGAACGCAACCAGGGTTTGTAGTTCAGACAGAATATTTTGCACCAGTGCAATTGTTGTTTGTTTATGTATTCACCTCTGGCCTGTAAAACAAATGTTAAAAATATATCTATAAACAAGAAAGTGACACATTGCAATGATGTTTAAATCAGCATCCTGTTAGACATGACAATAATTTAGGGTCTTCCAAAAAGAAAATTAATATTGCTACCATTTTAATTATTGTAATTATTATCTAAGGACATCATAATGTACATTGGGCAAATGTAAAACTTGGACAGTTTTCTGTTACGAAGAAATTGTCACACTGCACACATCCAATCAATACACAAAATTCTTCCTACACTTGCCATGGCACATCCATCATCATTCCTCCCACGGTTTCTGCAGATTACTTGTATTGCGTGATAACAAGTGATTCTGACTTTTAAAATTGCAGAAAGCAAAACACCTCTGTTCCCAAGTCACCATTTTCATTTACTGTGATGCTTACTGGCAGTAGACGATGAGACTCTGATGATTAAAATGGCATCAATAGAGTCAATTACTTAATTTTCATTTTGGAAGACTCAGATATTGTTGAGCCCTCTTTTGAATTGGTCATCACATGTTTGTCATTAAATGAAACATCAATATCAAACTTAGTTGTATCAAGACCTTTGTGTGAACACCCTCGAACACAATCTGAATTTGTTTGAGGGTGAGGTTTTCTATGTACTTCCACTTTGAATATGTGTAACTACTGATTTATTTGCTTAATAGAAACATTTGTTATGTTCTAAGTGACTAATTAGTTTGTAAATTCAGTTTACAAACTCTCAAAGGATGGATTTCAATCCGTTACTGAAAAGTTTGTGGATACAGCAGGTAGCAAGAAATTATTATTGACTATAATTTCCAACTTATTTTAGTGTTTATAAATTACACATCTAAAACTGCATTATTCTATCCACACTTTTGATTTCAAAAATGCACTTACATTTTTAATCTGTAATTCATCTGCCACTTTTCTGGCTTTCTCCAAATTCTCCAATAACTTAGAATCGGGTCTGATCTCTAATTTCTTCATAGCATTCATCACGTCCAGAAGGTATCTGAAATCCTTTGCTAGTGCTGCCGATTTTGCTAATGCGCCGATAATTTCTACAGACGGTTGAATATCTGCTGCCTGTAACAACATTGGATGACCATTTATTCACATAATTTTAGAGTCAAATACATTAAAATCCATACAAATCAAATACTGGACACCGACCTCCATGTCAGCAAGTAGCTTGTTGCCTTCGGATCTCTCCACACAGCCGAGAGCCAGGACGCCATATGTCACAATATCGACCTTCAGATTATACTTGCTAATCATGTCCAATACTTCCTATTATGTAAACAAATTGTTTGAAATTCAGTTTCTGCACAAAAATATTTTTAAAGCCTTAATACTAACCAATGCCTTTTTAAAATCCTTTCTAAATTGTCTTTTTTTGATCAAAAGATTAAAGAAGTCGACATCCGGTTTAATTTTGTATTTTTCGATGGCTGTCAGCAGAGATTCCTCCGCCTCAGATGTGGAGGGGATGCAGTCAAGCAGGATGCTGACCGTCTTTATATCTGGTTTCACACCAAGAGAGACCATGCTGGAAAGAACACCTTCTGCTCCGCCAATAACTAGCAATCTATAAAATAAAATCTTCATTACATCAAATATTCTGCAAAGTATTTATTTACCTTTGCACTTGTTTGGAAACATGGATTACTTATTAGATATACAGGGTGAGTGGAAAGTAACCAAACATTGAAAACTCACTATAGTTTCTATATTTCTAAAACAAAGATAATCAAAATTATTTTACATGTACTTTATTAAATGGAAATGTGGATGTGTATCTTCAAATTCAATGTACACATAGGCACCATCCACCAACTTTCTCAAACGACCAGGATTGTGATATGGATGGATGGCCATTTCTGTAGGCATCCACAACTGAACCCGTGGTCATTAGCTTCAAATGACAATTCTCAGTTATTTTTGGGCAGATTGTGGCACGACGTCCCTTTACCATATGTCGTTATCTCTGCATGGCAACCGCTGATTTCCATACCTCACAGCATGCAGCAATCTGCACTTGCTCTTGAACAGACAAGCAGTAAGCCAACTTTTTTGCTACAGTGAGTGTGGCCTCTCTCGGTCACTGCCCACACCACTGATGAGGGAATTATAAAAATCCATTGATTGATGTAAATGCATAGACAATTTTTATTATGAATGTATTATTATTACAAAAATTATAGTGTTTTCTAAATACCTAATTACTTTCCATCCACTCTGTATAAAGAGATTAAACATTTTCAAGCATTCAGGTTTTATTGCTGTCTACTAATCATTTTAATCCTTATAAGTTGATTTTTCTCACAGCAAATAGTCTTGATTAAATGATGACTGATTTTATTGTGACATATTTAAAACACAAAAAATGCATTTTGGGCTAATGTAATGTTTTAGCCCCTCTTCAGTGCTATTTAAAAAACATTACAATAAATCATGACATAATATTAAAACAAATAATCATAACAGTATATAACAAATAATAGTAAATAACTCCATCAAAAACCAGAATCCATATAAGAATAATTTGAGATTTGGTCAGCCAAAAGAAAGCACAAGTTATGCAACAAACTTCTTTACAAATTGTTGGACACAAGAATAGAGACACAACTCAAAAAAATAGTTCTTCCAGAACAGCTATTTAAAAGTTTCTTGTTTCCTGCAAGGCTTTGTCGTGATCTTGGATTTTTAAAATTTTTAAATTTTTTTTGGAAATAAATATTAGTGTTTGTTCTTCCACACAAAAATATGGGGAGTTTGCTGTACATTTCTACAATAAACTCGAAATTGGAAATTTTTGAGTTGTGTCACTATTCTTGTGTACCAACAAAATAATAAAATGTTTAAGGTATTTTGGTATTATCTGTAAACTTATGGAGTTTTATTCTGAAACTTTATTTAACAGAATAACTTTAAAATTTTGCTTTATGTGCAATAAATGGAATGAAATCTGATTACTTCTTACCTGTATTCAGCTGACTGTAAGTTTTCCAGACCAAGAATGTCATCAGAAGACGGGGGCCTGGGGACTAGTAAATTTAATTCTGTCAGCCGTAATTCTTTCACGGGTATGATTCCTTCTTCTCTTTCCATGGCATCCATTTGGACCATGATGTTGGAAGAATCCCTGGATTCTTCTCTCACTTCGATTTGGGCCAAATTATTTTTGCCATCCATGAGTTTTTTCACTTTGGATCTTTTCAAAGGAGCCCAGTCTAGTAAGAGCTGCGTGGCAGTCTCTGGAGGTCCTACTCCGCAGTCTCTGACAGCTCTCAACAAGAGATTGTAACTGTATTTATTTGGTTGAATTTTGAATTTTTTCATTTTTCTAAACACCTGGAGAGTAATAAATTCAAATTAATATAAAATTTGTTCTGAAATTAATAAAACATCATCATATTGTAACTAGCATAATTTGCCTCTTTATAAATTGAGATTATTTAAATTAATCCAAATGTTTGGAAGGGAACTGACCTTGTTAATAATTTTGAACAGAAACCCAAAGCATAAACTTTATTCACCAAATGCATAAACTCTGTAAACTATATCCAATTTTCTTGACAGAATAAGAAAGAATAATAGACTTGTATTGATACCTGAACAGCATGAGTAAAACCGGCCTCTCTGTCCGATATGCAACTCATCAGCAGAAAGGAAAAAGTTTCTTCCGTCAGAGAATGCCCTTCCCGCTTCATTTCATCCACTATCTGAAACAGAATAGATTCTGAAGACTCTTGCAAAGATATAGATGTCTCCCAAACCAAAAAATAATAAGAAAGTTACTATAAAGGCAGTCTTCAGATCCCCGCACTTCCCAAAGGCCTTTATCATGGCATGGTAGGTGATGGTACTTGGTAGCCACGACTTCTCGATTATTCTCTGTCTCAGTTCGTGTGCCTTCTCCAGTGCCTCTTTGGGAAATGGCGATTCGGCACAGGCATTAAAGAGTCCAGTCAGAGTGGCGGGAGACGGGACCATTCCTCGGTCTCTCATCTGCAAAGGAAATGCGTTCATTCATTGTTAGGTTAAAATTGTATAAATTATGTGTACTGACCTGTTTGAACAACTTGAATGCCATTTTTGTGTGTCCCGCTCTTCCACACGCTCCGATCAAATGCGTATATATGAATTTCTTCGGATACACTTTGTCCTTCTTCATATGTGCATACAATTCCAAAGCTTCTTTTAACTAAAAAGTTTAACAAGAAAAATATTAAACATTGTTAATTTTTATAATCAGATCATTGTTAAAAGCTTATTCATGCTCCATTGCATCTGAACACAGATGGCTTTGATATACAGTATCTGAAAACTAGATGATGGATCAAAAGTCTTCATGCATACTTAACACCAACCATATTAGTGTGTGGGAGTAACAAATTCACAAGAGTATTTGATAAAAATAAACCCCAAAAAGTATTTTATGACTTGTAAGACTGTAAACTGTACTCTTTGCCTATATATATAGTCTTGCGACTCACACGGATTTGCTTTTTGGTCAGTATCGTGTGTTTTTGTCACTTTCAAAAATGTCTGTGCTGACTGAAACTTTCCTCTTCAGCCTCTTGCCACTTCTGCAGATCTGCCAAGAAAACTCCTCCACTTCTTACATGTGAATGTGTGGATCTTTGTCTGTATAGACTCATTCATCTGGATTCCACCTTGTTAAGCTCCAGCTACTCCTTAGAGGTTTGTTGTATTTTTAGTGATCAAACTTATCATGGGTGCATAATCAACCTTTTAGGTTGAGGTGCATTTAGCCTGCCGACCTCCACCCGTACAATAACAGCCTACATAGCTTATATTGGGTTCATAGTTTCAATGATAACTTTATACACTTAAAATTCAACACAAATCAAATGTTTTGTCTGTTTATAGACCATCATCAGGATATACTCAAATTCAAAAATCAGAAAACATTCCAATGCAATACAGGTTAATACAGACGAGTAGTAAAACTAGTATTAATAATATAACCGTGGAGATGACCGTATTTCTTCATCAGAGCTTACGATATTCATAGCTTCATGAGTGCAACATGCAACAGTCGCTGCACTGACAAGTTCGTCTGTGAATTTCAGAACATATTTTAGTACACCACAGTTCACTGATACACTGTTTGATGTATGCCAAAATGTATGAATTGTTAAAGAAGTAAAATAACACACTGTTTATTCTGAATGCCATCAAACAATAACTTATACTTTCATTTTCATTTTTTTTTTCATTTCATTTATTGTTGTACAAATATAGTACAGACTGGTCCCGCATTGAGTATTACCAGTTATACACATTAGATATTACAGTACTCAAGATAAAATTTTGTTACGTGCACAGAAATGATGAAAGCAAATACATATAATAGAAGAAAATAAGTCAATAAATACATAAAATAAGATAAAAAAAAAAGATAATAACTTATACTGAAAGACAAGAATTCACACTAAGTGACATTCAATTTACCTTTTTTTCTTTATTTAACTCCTTCATTCTTCTTATATAATAATGAGCCGACTTTCTATCGACAAAATTTATTTCATCGTCGCTATCATCCGACTCATCATCATCATCATCATCGTTGCATTCCTCATCATCTTCAGTAAGCAGACTCGTGACAGGTGAAGCTCGTGTTTCAGCTCGAAGCGACGGTTCCAGAGGTTCTTTTAAAGTTCCAAACGAATCTGCATCATCCTTTGGAGTAATAACATCAGAATTTTTCACAAAATAATCTATTTTCCCATTAAAACAAGTCCTAACACTAGACAAACCGACGAAATCATTGAATATAACGTAACTTCGTTTGAGTTTAAACGTTGTGACCAATCTACTTATACAACGAGCATAGAACATTTTAATTTTTCGGGCAGTTAACGATCAAATCCAGAGCTTTATCCTATTTTTTTCATTTTAGAATTTTGAAAAAACATAAACATAACAGAAATCCACGTGTATTGTACGCAACATCCAGTTAAATGTTGCCAGCTTCTTGATAACAGGTTGGCAACACGATTAAACGAAAAAAAAAACAATAATAATTTAAATATAATTTTAAAATTTAATATAAATTATTGCTTAAAATAATCTATAAATTAATTTGGTAAGCCTCAATACTGTCTAACTTCGTTTGGGAGAACGGCTGAGGGTTTAAACATGGTTCAGGTATCAAAGTAAAGCTTTTGCCCTGTAGATGATGCCGCCAAAAACAGATTTGAGAAAAGTTACAAACTTTCAGGAGAGATAGAGTATATGAGGCCGATGGGAAATCACATAGCAATGCATGGTCGGAAACGCTTTTCTGGAACTTGTTGCACCCATCGTGGCAGCTGCTCGTGTGTAAAGGTGAGAGAAGACTGTCGTTAGACTTAGTCTGAGATAGAGAGGAAAGGGGATGGAAGAGAGAGGTAGGATTAGGAGAGGCAGAGTTGATAGTTCAGATAGGGAGGATGGGTTCACTTGGAAGCATTATGCCGCATGTATTTAACTGCTCCCATTTAAAATACAGTGTGAATATAGAGTACTGTAATACAAAAGGCTATTCTGGCTTATGTTAAAGTTCCTGGGTGTTGGTGGTTCGATATTCCCTTGTTGTTGCCATGTTTTCATTTCAATGCATGTGTTTCCCTGTTGTCGTGTTGTCACATTGATTGTTTGTTAGCGCATTGGCTACTGGTTGATTTGTCAGGATGGTTGGCTTTTTCTTCGCTTTATTCTTCGTGTCTAATAGAGATTAGGCCTCTTTAGTGAAGGGCTATACTGTTTATGAACTTAATTTATTGCTATATACAGTTCCTTTTTGCTGCATAGGTCACTCGGGTTTGGCGGCCAGGATAGTCCCTGCTGAATGCAGTTTGCGTAAAGAGGACTACGCTGATAGTCATATTTTGGGCAATAGAAAAGGACGTGATGTGCGTCCCTGTTGATATATTATCACAATCATAATGCTCACTGTCACTTTTTTGAATCGGTGTAGATAATAAGGGAAGTCTCCGTGTTAAACACTGTGTTATTTTATAACTTGGCGTGAAGTATGACATGCATTGCCGTTGATTGACAGACGGAATAAAACTGCGGGTAAGCCTCCCAGTTGATGAGTTCGTCCATTCCCTTTGCCATTCTACCTTGATTGCTTCCTGTATGTGATTTTGTATATGCTGCAGAGGGATTCTGTTGAATGTAGTATATATGTTCCTGGCTGCTGCATTCCTGGCTAATTCATCTGCGTGGTCGTTTCCTTTATTGTTTGAGCACCCAATGAAACCCGATTCTTCTCCTTTTTGCAATATTTTTGGCTAGTTGCCTCAATGTAATTCCTGTTTCACTCGTTTTCCCTATATTTTTTATTGTGTGGAGGACATACCTGCTGTCTGTGAAGCAAAGTATGTTTCTGTTGATACTTTTGCACATTTTGTGAACAGTAGGAGAGCCTGGAGTATTACCCACAGCTCCGCTTGATTGATTGTGGGTGTCCAGTTTAATTAAAGGATTGTTGGTGAATTATTTGGTGTTTGTCATTGTAGATTACCGCATCAGCCCCAGTGCCCAAGTTGTTTTCGGCAGCTGTTGGGGAAGTCCGGGACACGCTCGGTATTTTCGACAACGTTAGATTTTCAATTCACCGGAGATGTGAGGTCTGCATCACGGCCCGGGGTCGTAATCTCGAACACCTTCTTTGATTTTTGCTACACTAACAATAATAAACATGTTTTCTCACCCTGTTCTTGTCCTTCCTTTCTTGTGTTTTGTGTCGTCACTACTGCGCCAGGAAAGCGTTTGGAAGACGATGGGAAATCACATAGCAATGCATGGTCGGACCATGCATTGCTATGTGATTTCCCATCGTCTAGGTGTACTCTATATCGCCTGAAAGTTTGTAACCACTGTACTGATACACCCTGTATAATTATATTTCATAATTCACATTTTCTTTTAAATTGCTATACGTTTTCCTTACAAAATATTCACATTTTTATTTGCATTTTAGTAAATTTTTGAAGATTCTATGGCTTTCATTATACTGTATAGTACTGTATTTCGGTAACGTATCATATGATATACACGATGATATCAAGTGATTAGTTATAGTTAGATGATAAATGTTATATCACATCGTATATCTTATTCAAATTGTTCCGAATATGTACAGGTATATTACATATATATGAGGATTTTGCAAGTATATCACCGTAAATAAGGTATTAAGATACTCGATATCTTCAATTTTTACTAAAATTATTTCGTAACAATTTTCAATCCATTTTTTCAATTAAAATTGTGGTAACGAATTCAATTATTGTGTCGAATATTACAAAAGACTATTTAATTAACAAAGAAGACTGGTTATTGTTAGAATAAGATGGAGCACTTCAAGTCTTATTTTGACAAAATTAAACATCAGCTGACCAGCAAAGAAGACTGTTTGGTGATCTTTTTCCACTACTTGGCCATTCGTAGTGGATTGTACTGCGCGGGAATAGGAGAGAATTGGACCAGCATCTCCAAAAATACCACGGATATACCTCCCGAAGGATGGAATGCCAATCAACAACTTTATTTTTTTAGATACACGGACCACCAGCAACAGCAATTTCAATTGAAAATAGTCAATAATATAGAATACAAATTCCTTTTCGTTTACTGGATAAATTTTGGCAATAGCTATTCCTGCGGCACACTCGTCAAGATCGAAGATCACGTGGGAGAGAACCTAACAACGGTTGAGGAAGCGTTTAAAACGCCAATGGAAGTGCTAAAGGAACTCTTCTGCCGTATGATAAACGATTCTCGTCAATACCAACAGACACTAGCGGGGGCAACGTCTAGAAATGTCGTGGATGAAATTCCGGGGTCTTCGTGTTCGGCGGCGACTGGGGCGATTCCGAAAACTTTCGCACGATAAAGAGACGGGGGCCAATCCAAAGACATCATTTGAGAGAAAGATACGGTTCCAAAATCTTCGTCCCAGGAGGAATTTCAATCTACTCCAAAATCACCAACGAAGACAAAACCCGAATAAACTGGTTCTTTGAGAACACAATGTAAATCAGACGCACCCCGCTTCATACAAACTTAAAAAATTTACAATAAGGAAACTTTTAGTTAATGGCAGGCCAAATTTTAATTTATAAATTAATAATTCACATATTAATTCTAAATTCTGTTGTTTATAGACTAATAAAAGCTTTTAATAAATTATTTATTGTGTTTGATATCTTGAGATGACGTTTGAATTTCATGACAATATTAACTTCTTCAATCCTGAAGAGTTCATTTATTCCTCAAGTAAATTGATACGAAATAAATTAACTATTCTACTCATAAAGTTTACACAAAGAATACGTTTTTTGCGAGAAGAATGAATGGCGCTTAAGAATCTGTTGCTCAATATTAGAGCATCGAATATGGAAAATAAGAAAATGCTCTAAGGATTATAGAAAAATTCGATAAGTATGGCTTATGGCTGTTTAAAAATAATTTACTATATTAAATTAACGGAGTATGTATGATTTTTCGGATTTCTTGCAACTCATGACAAAAGTCTAACAAAAGTGAATTGTAATGAGCAGGGGCACCCGTACATTAGGGCCCTCGTTTCTTTCGTGTTGCTTATTTCTTAATTACAAAAGAGGCCCCAAATTCCATTATCAACGAACGACAGAAATTCATGACTATTCTGCAAATATAAAAGAAACTAATGAACGATATTTGTCCATTGTCCCATGAAACTTCTTCGTATGTTGAACCAAAAATTGGCCTTAAAATCAAGAAACGTGCCTTGTTTTCCAGGCCAAGTTAGCCCGATTGCAACCAATGCTATCTTGGAGCGATGATCTGACGTTGAATCATAGTTCGAAGCTTATTGCATAATGCATGATCCCCCTTTTTTTTATAGTTTATGCCCCTTTTGTGTAGTCAGCGGGCACCTCTGGTAATGAGTAATAAATTTTCCCACTTGGAGCCATAAACTTCGTCTGGTTGCAATGGGTCCAAATAGGAACATTCATTGAAATGGAAGTTTATTCTTAATTGCGAACGTATTAAAAATGCAAATATCAATATAATAATAATAATAGCTTCGTTGTAAAATATTTATGTGGGGTTTTCAATAATTTCGGTCGATCTTTTTCCCCGTAAAAATACGTAAATATATTATAATAAATCTCAAAATTAAAAGAAAAATATTATTTTAAATAATTAAATTTTTAAACATATAAAAATTAATTTATTAATTTTAAAAAGATTTAAAGACATANTAAAAACCAAAAATAATTCTTCTCACCATACTATTCTTATCCAATTTATAACTGCTTCTAGCCCTCTGGTGGTAGGTTTGAGTTGTCGGATCCACTAATAAAAGGCTGATCGTTTTTAACTTTGTGAAATTTTTACCTATTTTTACCTTTGTTAAAGAAGTTTATTCTTCAAAATCATTGTAACTGTTACTTCTGTGGTTGGATTAAAGGATTAAAAGCTAGACTCAAAAATGTTATATTTTTGTGAATAGTCTAAACTTCAAATATATGAAGAAAAAATAGCCCGAGTCAATGTGAAAATTGTAAAAATAATTGTTTACTATGAAATTTATAATAATTCTTAAACAGTTTGATATACAGTATGTATAAGAAAATAATAACTTAAATTTCAATAACAAAAACATAATAATAATTTTATAAGTAAAATGAAATAGGTTGATTGAAGTCAAGAGAATATTCTAACAATTAGCATTAATTAAAATTCAAAGCAATTAAGTTGTTGGTTTGACCTGTCGTCGGAAAAAGATCTCATCATCAGTCTCGGAATTTTCCCATGATTAAAGCATGGAGTCATAGTTTTCCAAATCTAGCTCCAAATCTTCATGCTTCATAATCATTTATGTTTTAAAAATTTTTACTTCATAGGTAATTTATATGTCTATTATAAGAAAGTATTATGTAACTACATAACAACTTAATATCTGTGTTATGTGAATTATTCGATTTATGGAAAGCCAAAATTTTGGTCACGACCTGATTAAGTGGGATCCATTCTCGTGAATCCCCATTTACATCTCGTGCATCCCCAATGTTTGTTTTTGCTGACATGGACCCCTTGCAGTTCAGAGTCGACCCCTAGGGGTTGATATAGACCACTAAGCAGGCGTCGGTGAGTTTTTTTTAATTATTATTATTATAAATTTTACGGATTATTTCTTTTCTATATAACACGATTAACAAATCGGCGTAGGTTTTTCGAATAATTTCGTCGAATTTGCCGCCGACGAGAGGATTTCAGTCGATCAATCGAAAGAACCAATTTATTGGTAGAAGTTTATCCTTACTTCATGGGCCCTTTTTTTCTAATTTTGCACTCTTAATAACATTGGCTGTGTTCGGCCGAGTACAACAGTTGTAACTGAGCAAAGGTGTTTCAATCGGTAGCTGTTACATAGTTATATCTGCCGAACGATGAGTGATGTATGCATTGGAACAAAAGGTTAATTCCAGTTACGTGGACTGTCATGGCGGCTCATCTCTGATTCCAGCAAAAAAAAGAAAGGAAACAGTGGGGACGCACGTTCTAACCTAACCTAACCTATTCTAATAAATTACCATAATTATTACCAATTAAATTATTAGAATAGGTTAGGTTAGGTTAGAACGTGCGTCCCCACTGTTTCCTTTTGTTTGCTGGAGCCGCCATGACAGTTCACGTAACTGGAATTTAACCGAACAAAAAGCAGCCATCATTGGTCAGTTTCGGGTAGAGTAAATGAAAGATGCTACTAAATATGTTAAAATACCAAACGTGTTCCTAAACAATTCTACTGTAGGTGGCATTTGTCAGAAAAATACTCAACAGTTTCAGAACTGTTGAGTCTGCTGAATGCATCCATTGTGTGCCTAGAATTTCTGTACTCTGATAAACTTTTCATTTGCACCATCTTGATTTTTGATAGATGAAGACTGTCAAAACTCTGCAAAATGTTAATCATCTTTCCATGGATGTACTGGACAATGTTGGATTTGCCGTAAATTGCCGACCTACGGAACGGTTGTCGATTTAACTTGTCGACTAATATTCTGTTAAAATATTTAACTTTCGTGAATCTTTAACCGCTGTGTAATATGAAAGGTTTACGTAAATTAAATAGTTTGGTTATACACCCCACTGTGCAGATTGGATTTATAATATTCTGTTCTATTCTTGTTTATTAGAGAAAACTTTAAAGTATTGATATGGTATTTAGTTAATATTTTGGATGGCAGACAAATTTACGGAAAATATAATTACTAGCAAATTTTATCACGGCACATAAACAGTTGTTAGACCGTGAAATGGCATTTTTCGAACCGAGGTCCGCGGATCGGTTTGGGAAGGTTTGTGAAACAATGTATTGGCGGAATGATGAGTTTTTTTTATATAATAATTACTTTTGGTATGACTAGTATTTTAATAGTTGCTTCCCTTGTAGAATGTATTCAACTTCTCCTAGAGCAGTAGATTGCCACCTTGGCTATCTGCCCATTTACATCGACAATTAAAATTCATTGGATATTGTTTAATTTGGTATTATCATAAAACTTGTAAATCATGAACGGATATACAAACAAACCCCTAATTTATATACATATATACAAACATCCACATTTATTTATAGATCTGCAAACATTTTCCAATTTCTGAAGGAGTCCTAGTTTGTAAACTGTTGCCATTGAACGAGACAGAAATGGAAGTTTGTTTATTAATGCTAAAGCAATTGCTTTGAATAAATATTAACCTCTAAACAGAAACATAGGTCTCTACTACATAATTGGAAACATCACTCTGAGAGACCCTGTATTTTTTAAATTTTGTTTTCCATATTTGTTACCATACAAGAGTTTATTGATTTTTTTTTTTTTTTTTTGGCAAAATTATGATTAGTAATGTGTGATGTGAACTTTTCTGCAACACATTAGAGGAATTGGATCATAACATCTAATACACTTGTAGGAAATTTTTCTGTCCTCAGAAGACGGACACTCAGAACGGGGCTGTGTTCAGTAATGCAAAATTCTTGTTAAGCTGCGATGTTGAACTCATTTCTAACTACTGCTTGACTCCTTCCACTGCTAGAATTCTAGCTAGTTCAGTCAGCTTCTTTTATCTATGCTAACTTCTACTAGCAACGCCATTGTTTTTGTCATGTCGTACGATTTCCAAGATGGCTGTTCGTGTTGGATTAAACATATTTTATTATAACAATCACAAAGTGGATTGAATGTCTATTCATTCTAAAATGACTTTAAAAATGTAAAATTATTATATGTTGGTATAACAGATTCCAAATACATTTTAACGGAAGATAATGATCCATTTCATTGATTACAATTAATAATTACTTCATTAATTTCATCACAATCTGACGCAACTTCCATTTGAATAATTGTATTAGTTACTTTATTCTTTTTGACCAGTTCGTTTGCAATCATAATTTTAACTTTGTCTACCATTTTGCCCAGTGTCTAACTAAGAATAATTGTTCAATGATGCTCAGAACATTCTTAGCTCTGCCTACTAAGACAGAGGGCAGAATTCTAACTTAGGTGTTCTGTGTTACTGAACATGGCCAGGTCTTCCTCTTCTCGAGCTTGTCACTCGAAACATGATTGTCTTCGGCAATAGTATTTTCATATTCCAGTATTACCTCCCACAGCAATATTGTAGATTAGCAATATCTCAAGGTAGATTAGGATTACTAAGTAGTCTTTTGATATGTTGTCCCAGCAGAGAGGAAGTGAAGCATTCAACAAAATGGAATTTTTTTGATGACTGGATTTTCACAATTGTACAAATAAAGTAAGCAGTTGATTATTTACCAATACTTGATGGAATATCCATAATAAAGAGTTCTAAAATTAAGAAAAAGTTTATTTGCAAAGCAACAAAATTAGCACTTGAAAACTATATAAAGTAAACAATATGAAACATCCAGTCTCACAAATAATAATAAGGTATTAGGAAAGGGCAAGGCAAAGCTTGAATGGTTCTGCACACATTATACCCCCATAACATAATGTAATGGCAATGGTCTTGTAGACCGATGTTTCCGTTTAGAGGTTAAGTGTGTTTTAAAATAGTCCTAATATATTTTTGTGAAGTTTTAAAATTATTGTATAAATTTGTCTGTTAAAAGAAAAGAATTGTATTGATAAAATAATTTGTGATCCTTTCAA